TCCTCAGCTGCTTCAAATCTGTAATCAAATTATCAAAACCAGCCAAGAAACAAGAAAAAAACGTTTTACAACATTTCTCGTGATCATCATTATCATCATACATTGGTGTCCATAAAAACGCACCGTTTGACTCAGCCTTCCAATAAGCTCCTCAAGCTATGAAAAGCCTCCGCCGTCAAACTACAACATCGTTGCTTCTCCACCGTACTAGCAGCAGCCGCCGCCGCATCATCGACCGACAAGAAACAAACGACAACAACCGTTAGGTTATCAAACGTGTTTAGCCTTAAAGCCTCCATCGCAAGCTCTCTAGCACATCTCATCGGATCATCGTGGCGGCGTAACCCGCGTCGGACAATACTAACGGCTTCTTGACTTGTCAAAACATCCCAAATCCCATCGCATCCGATTATCAGAAACTCGTCTTCTTCTGTTAGATTTATCTGTTTGATCTCTGGCTCTGCGATGAGTGGAGATTGTGAGCCTCGTGGTAGTTTCATGTCCCAATCGCCAAGTGCTCGGGTGACTGATAAAACACCGTTTAGGTATCCGTCATCAACGAAGCCGCCACATTCTTCCACTCTTCTTCTTTCCGGTAAGTAGATCGGTCTGTGGTCTTGAGACATGTCTATGGCTTCACCTTTCCTACAAAGAACGGCTCTGCAATCTCCCGCATTTGCCACCATCAAATGTCTGCACAAAGGGAAGAACAAAAGTAGGAAATGAGCAAAGCCAATCTGATATACAAAATTACGTGACATTTTAAAGGCTCTGTTTGAATTGAGGCGTGTACCTTCCGAAAATAAAGGTAGCAAGAGCAGTGGTACCAGAAGAAGGGCCGATGCTTCGGTCTTCTGCTAAAGCAAGATCAGCCTGAAGAAAGGCGTTCCTCAAAGAACTCTTGACTTCTTCGACATATATACTATTCACTTCCGATGTTTGTGGAAACTTATCGTCTTCGAAGAACAGTCTAATGGCGTTCTTTCTAACGTAAGCTGCTGCTTCTGGTCCTCCGTGGCCATCAAAAACCTATATACAAGATGCAAAAAAACCAGTAAATATTCTGATGTTCTAATCAACCATATGACACATACGTTAGCATTAGTCGTCGAAAAATGCAGTACCGCATAGAAAGCACTCGGCTTTGGCAACGACCCAAGTCGAGAAGATAGATCATCTATGCAAATGTGTTCGTCTTCCATGAATCTCCTAGGTCCAATATCAGCATAGCTCCCAGAACGAATAACCGGAACATAAAACGAGACACTAGAACTACAATCTTCATCATCTTCCTCCGAAAACGAATCATCAGATTTCAAACCCTGTAAAGCAAATATTTTATCCTCCCAATCAATTAAGCTCTCAGCATAAAAAAACACAAGGGCTTTACAAATCAAAAGGTATACACATACACATACAAATACACTACAAAAGACAGGACTTTCAAAGCAAAGTAATTAAAGACTCTTTGAGTCATGTCCTAAAGTCTATGGCTTTATCACAAGCAGTTTCTAAATTCCAACTATTCACATCTCAGGACACAATTCAGACAACACCACAAGCCAATTAGATAAATTCCAATTGTTGGAATCCACGAATTCTTCTTTGATGAATCTAAGAACCTAAATCTGCGCAATTATGTAAATTCCAATTATTGGGCATCCTCCAATTCCTAATCACAGAGCAAAAAAAAAAAAAAAAGCAAACTTTATATCGGAAACACTTACCGGAAGAGAAGTCGATATGTCGGCGGACACCGACGCCGCCGGGCGACGAATACCCAGATTCGGCGAAGAAACTGTTGATTTCACGGCAGAGACACCGTCGATATCTTTAACTCCGGTTGGTGGTCCGAACAATTGTACATCCAAAACCACCGGTAAACTCTGTTGAAACATAACCTCTGCTTCAGCCACCATCTCTGTTTCTTCACATCAAAATCACAAGAAAACTCGATCGTTTCTTCAAATTTTTCAATTTCCCAAAGAAAATTTCTACTGAATTTGCGTCACTTGTGTTGGGAAGACAATTTCAAAGTTGCTTTGCTTTTATTTTTATTTTTCTCCTCGCGGACGAAAATTTTGAGAAGATTGTGTTTCTTTTGATATATATATGAGATACGAACCAGGTGTGGTTGACCGGTAACCGGTGGCTACATATTAACCGGAAATACACGTGGCGGTAATCTATGGAGTTTTGAAGTCAAGTGTATGGATTACGCGGCGAAAAACAAGGCACTTAAGGATGACACGTGTCGTATTTTCTTGTGTGTTTGGCTTTGACGCGCGTAGTTCTCAGTGAAATGACATAACGACCCTCCCTTTAACTACCGACTATGGCTGACTTTTTGTTGGATTTGTCAGGGGTAGTTTTGAAATTCAAAAGGTTTTATGAGGGTATTTTTGGAATGTTGTTTAACCGACCGGAATCTGAAGATGTCTTCTCGTGTTCACACTTGGAGTTGCGTAGCTTGTTCGAGACGTAGTAAACTTGTATATTGACGAAATTGCCCTCCAGGTGATTGTAGTGATAAGGAGATGAATCTGGACCGTTCAAACCATCCCACTAAGACTGGGTCCTTTTGCTTTCAACGGCCCAGAAAAATCTAGACGTGTCTCGATTTGAAATTGAAAATCTAAAAAGGATTAATTTTATTTCATTTTTTATTAAATGTAAAAAAAATTATTTGGAACTCAATTGTATAACGTGTATCGTGCCACGCAAGTATGTGCTTCTTCTTTTTTTTTTAATGCTTTTTATAGTGTCCGCAACTTTTTTTTTTTGCATGTAACGATTATCAGCAATTCATAAACAAAAGAAACGTTGGTTAGCAAAAAAAAATAAATAAAAGAAACGTGACAAATTCACCTACATAAAACATACAACCAATTATGTTATCGTGGATATTAATTTAATGTTTCTTTAGTGATGAATAAGTTAAGTGTTGCTATAATCCAAAATACGAAGGAAAATAAATTGGTGTAGCGATAGATGAGTCATCTCTACTAATCGCGTGATGAATATACTAACTTTACTTTTAAAGCTGGAAAGGACAATAAGTTAAATTTAATTTTAGTATAACTTTAATCAAGATGCTAAAGATCCGTTACCTAATCAATAGTAGAAACGTGTTTCGTGAAAAGTCCAATAATTAGTGCTTGTCAAAACGTGAAATATCCCAAACAAAAAACAAATTGATTCGAACTCTAAAGTCTTGATTTCTTCCTCCCAATAAACCATCCAATGATGGTTTTGTCAATAATATTTGCAAAAGATTTAGCCGTGTGTATATAGTTTTGCTCGAAGAGTTTGGATGTTACATGATATGATATTCTAGGCTTACTATATGTTTAAACTATGGATATACATGAAGCCTAAAACTCGTTTTGACTTCATCTTCGTCAACTCTTCCCATATATGAATCCAAGATATTTCTCTTTATCTTGTGTTGTTGGCCACTATAAATTCATTACTATCGTAGTAGTGGCATTACAAGTCGATTTAGGTAATAAGAAGCAGTTTATGGCATAAGTAGGTAAGGCCATAAATAATCACATATTTTAATGTAGTCTCTTTTAGTGTGACATTTTTTTTGCTTATGAATCTTCATGAAATTTCGTATGATGTGTTTAGTTCTTGGTGTTAGCCTTTAAACAGATGAGTTATGCATGATTATAAAGGGGAGAATTAGATATTGACCATGTATGATGGACTCTAAAGAAATGTGATTGTACCCTTATGGGCTTAATTAGTCTTATAATGAAAGGCCATCTTGGCCATCAAGCCCTAACCTGATGAAAAGACAATCAAGTACACTAGCTAAGCTGGGTTTACTTGCTCGTCGAGCTCCTATGGCCCATGATGAGTTGTTGTGTGGCTCAAATGAACATAGTTAGACTAACACTAGAAAAGTTAAAAAAAAAGTAAAGCAATTGTATCTTTCTAACCTTGCAAGGGATGAAAACACCTTCTTTCCTTTTATATGATTATAGAGATTAGGATTTTGCTGTTACTTTAGAACCTAGTTGGTAACAAACGTAATACGGTTATGATTTTTTTGCCCACCACTAAAGAGAAGACGGCCAAAAGAAAAAGTGTTAAGAGACAATGTTACTACAAAATATGGTTTTGTGAATATTTTTTCACACAATTACCAACTTTCTTTATAACCTCTAAAGCCAGTTTCAACGGTAGTTTCTAGTAGAGTATCTAAACATTAATTAATAAACTAAAAAAAGGAGAAGAGTAAAAACTTTGTAGAAACTATGGTGCCATTTATATTGTTGTGATTGGTTCAAATTTTTAATAATCATATAATTTAAGTATATTAGAAATATTTGTATTTAATTTTATTGGTTAAATATTTTTCGGAAAGCTTCCACCATTAGAGATGCTCTAACCACCCTACTTCTTTTGATTCATATAAGCTTTAACTATTCATAAATTTTAACTTTCAACGTACTATTTTTTTATCCTTCGGTTCGATTGGTAATTAAAGAGACCGGTTCGCATCCAAACCACTTTTAAATGTGTCTCCAATCAAAGACATGGTTCAAGTCGAAAAATAGAATTTCTACTTATACTCATCAACTAAATTATATACGATACCTACGAACAGGGCAACATGTTTC